ACCCAGGGACATGTTCCCTGGTGCCCTCTCCAGTTAAGCAATGTCTTTCTACAGGGGCCTCCTCTAGCAGGAACCTTCATCCCTGGAAGGTCTGCCTCCCCAGCATGCTTCAATCCATGTTCTTTGAGGGCCCAGTGGCATCAGCATCTCCCTCCACCCCCACCCCCCATCCCAGCATCTTCTCCTACACTGGGCCATGAGCTCACTCCATGGGAGCAGGCCCCCATCGCTCCAGCCACCACAAGACTGCTGGGCCCAGCCCAAACGCCACGTGGTCAGTCTGCTTTGAGTGAAACACTCGGGGACGGCTGGGTGGGCCAGCCTTGGGGGCTGGGGCAGGGCAAGGCAGACTCACTGGGCACACGGTTGATGGCTTTGAGGGGCCGCAGGACACGCACGGTGCGGATGGCAGACAGGTTGATGTTCTGAAGGTCCAGAGAGTACTCGACCATCCTGCGGAGAGACGAGAAGGGTCCGTGAGGGGCTGGGGCATGGGGGTGGGCTGGGGCATGGGGGTGGGCTGGGGCGCCACAAAGAGCCTGGTTGGGGCAAGAAACAGCCAGAACCCTACTCTGCCTGGGTCAGCCTATGACCTTGAGTGTGGCCCCAGGTCTTGGGCTTCTCCCTGCTCCCCCTGGAACTCGGCAGGCCAGGCAGCACAGACCACCTCTCCTGGGATGTGGCAGGCACATTGTCTGCCCTGACCCCTCTCCTGATAGGAATGACTACTGTCCTTCCTGAGCCAGTCCTGTCCCCTCTGTCCAACTGCCCAGCCAGCTCTCGGCCCTTCCAGCCTCCACCCATGCTCTGTTGACCTTCTGCCTGCAAGCCCTCTCCTCCTCTCCACCCAAGAGACCCTCCATGCCCCTCCAGGCTGGGACCGTTGAGGAACCAGGCCAGGCCGGGCACTGCTGATCCAAGGGGGGTTCAGCTAGGCTTCCACGCAGGTGGGCAAAGGAGAGACAGGGCAGCTTGGAGCCCTCACCGCTGCCTAGTCCTCTTCCACGGGCCTGGGCCCAGCAGACCCACCAGAGTGCCTCCTCCAGGAGTCTCCCAGGGGTCCCCCCCGCAGAGACCTACCTGAAGGCTCCTCCACCGCACACAACTGCTACTCCCCCCACCCACAAAGACAGGGCTCCTTCCATCCCCACCCACACCCCCCCAGGCCGGGCTGGGCCCGCTATTGGTGGGAACTGCAGGCTTTTTGTTCGTTTGTTTTGTTTTTATTTTGTTTTTTCTACTTTTTCCATGCAGGTTTTTTGGGCAGGCATATGGGTGGGTGATGAAGCCATTACCCCTGCCAGTTTGAGGAGGAACTGAGTGTAGGCGCCGTGGTCTGGTGACATGCAGACACGTGTGTGAGCACACACACACACACACACACACACACACACACACAACTGCAGGCTCCGTTCAGAGGTCAGGGAGAGGAACCAGCCAAGGGGCAGAGCCCTAAGCTGGCATCCAAGAGGTGAGGAGTGAGAGGAGAGCAGGGTACAGGGAGGGGCCCAGGCCAACGGCCTGCTGCTCGGGCAGTGGGAGGGAGGGGAACTTCTAGGGTGGGTGGGCCAGTGGTCATTTCATATTCTGCAGAGCTCTCTTCGGCAGCCAGGGAGCCGCGGATGACGCCGGTGCTCCCGGGGCAGCCCACACGGGCACACAAACAGGCGCTCCCACAGACACGCACCTCCCCACCCCGCACAGGCCTGGCAGGGAGCCAGACCCTGCCCCCATCCCCCAAATCCAGAACCTCTGTCCAGCCTGGTTCTCTACATTCCTCCAGGGGGGAGGGGCACTAGCTCCCAGGCCAGCTCAGTCCTCTGTGGCTTGGTCTAGGCCTTGCTAGGTGTGGGGGCTGCAGGTGGGAGCTCCAGCCCCAGCCCCAGGCCCAGCCAGGGGGCAGTGGGTGGGCTAGGAGGAGGTTTCCAAGGCTGTACTCCACAGGGACCGAGAGTCAGACTTTTCTCCCTGAGAGCCGCGCTGGGTTCCAACCACTAACCGCATGGTTGGTGGCTGGGCACTTTAACCACTGTGCCACCAGGGCTCCTATCCACGGATAGGCTATTCTACTCTGGCACACGGGTGGCTCCGGGACCCACTACCCCACACCTGTGGATGTAGTCCCATCGGGGGACAAGTTTCCTTTGCCATGTTCACGAGGCTGCATCATTGGCATAAGGCTGGCAGCTCTTAACCAGTCACTTTTGTACTATAGAAGGAGCAGCTGTGGCTGCCCGCACTCCTGGGGCAGACAGACACTACCCCACAAGAAGACCACCAAGGAGCCTGGAGCTAAAGAGAGACCAGGACCTCCCCCCAGAACCACCAGGGAGAGAGAAAGCCTCCCCTCCCCTAGGGCCACTGCCCTGGATTCGAACTTCTAGCCCCTGCGAACAGTGAACACATCCATTCCTGCCCTTTGCGTTGCAGCAGCACAGAGTGGGGGCTTGGCAAGATAATACCTAAGCCAGTGCTTCTGCGTGCCGAGCCTGGACTCTGGGTTCTGACCCACACGAGCTCAAATACAGGCCCCAGTGCGACCGGGGACAAGCCACCGCACTGCTGCGCCTGTTTTCTCACCCAATGAGATGGATGCGATCATGTCCACCTTCCCAGCGTTCGAGGCGACTGACCATGGACGCTGCCGGATGTCGGCACCCCCCCCCCTTGCAGAGCTCCATGATCAAGGCTTCACCGGGCTCAGGTGCACAATCAAGGCCCCCAAAAGCAGCAGTCAAGAAATCGATTGCACTTGGAAACCTCCAAAGACTGACGTGAGCCCGAGCCACGCCATGGCACTGCCGCCCTATGCACATGGGCAAGCCAGACAGTGAGTTAAGAAGTTTGGCGGAGAATGGGTGCCTTTGAATTATTGGTAAAGACTACTCAATATAAATATACCCTGGTTCGAAACCACCAGCAAATCCTAGGGAAAAGAGGAGGCTTTCTGCTCCTGTGAAGAGTTACAATCCCAGAGACCGACAGGGGCAGTTCTACTCTGTCCACTGAGTCCTGGCGTGTCGGCGTGGGCTCGATGGCAGTGGTTCGGTGGTGGGTTTCCAGAAGAACAAATTTGTCTGGGAGGAAGGATCACGCGGGAAGGCTCGGAGGCAAGACTTTGTGGAACAAACTGCAGGTGTGTCATCTGTCATCACAAGAGCCCAGTTCCTGGAGGACATCATGCTGGTCAAGTAGAGGGGCAGTGTCAAAGGAAAAGACCCCGGACGACATGGACTGACTCCCGGGCTGAAACTAGAGTCAAGGGCGTCAAGGCCATGTCAGCGTTGTGCTGTAACCATGGGGCTGCGAGCTGGAAACCACTGACCGGACTCATTCGAACCACAACAGGCCCCCCCGGAGTACCGTTGGGTGGACAACAAACTCAAGTGACTTGTCCAAAGACACAGCACAAGCTGGGGGCAAGGGCTAGCTCTCGGCCACCTCCCAACGGGGGAGGACACGCGAAAGTGACCCACGCCTAGCACGGGCCGACGGGGCTCCGCCCCTCCTCTGGTTGGACTACTGACTTCACTGACGGACTTTGGGGCACTCCCCGAAAGGGAAACGGGGCACACGTTGTTTGGAAGCCGCCTCCCTCGTCCCCAATCGCAGCCCTGCTGGCAGCCAGGGCAGGGACCCTTGCAGCAGCAGCCACAGGCGGGGCCCAGGGAAAAGGGAGCCACAGTGGAATCTGACTCCTAGCAACCCCATGGGGCAGAACAGAACTGCCCCTGAGGGTTTCTGCGACTGCCTCTTTACAAGAGCCGACAGCCTCATCTTCCTCCCATGGAGCAGCGGGTGACTCAGAACTGCTGACCTTGTGGTTCATAACGCAACAGGCATGCCGCTATGCCCCCAAAGCTCCTTCTGATGAATCTATTGGTTCTCAATTGAGAGGGGCACCAACCCAGTTCCCCACTGCCAGGACGGCGCGTCCTTCTGTAACAAGGGACGAGAACGAAACATCCATAGTTGTTCTAAGTCTCCCTCCTCCAGACCTCTTCCCGGGACGACAGAGAGGGGCCTCTTTACCACAGGCTGAATTCACCCCTCTCTGCTCTGGCTCCTTCCACACTCAGTTCCCCCCAAACTAAACACTGAAGCCGGGACTCCAGAGCCTAGCTTCTGCTTCTTGGGGAGATGACCCCAAAAAGCACAGCGAGGCCAGTGGAAAGTGAGAAAAAGCCAGGGGAGGGCTCTTGGGGAGGTCAACTGGGGCCCAATCCCACTGGGGATCCCCTGAGGGTCCCCATCTGAGGACAGGACTGGGCAGTAGCTGGTGAGTCCCCTCCCCTGTTGGTTGAGAGAGAGCTCCCTAACAGAGATGCTGGAGAAAGTCTGCGACAGAGAAGTGGGCGGCTGTGGGTCAGCAGAGACATGTTCTCAGGACAAGAGGCATCCAGAGGGAGTGTGAGAGGGGCCAGCCACAGCCCAGGCTGGTACTGCGCCCCCAACAAGGCACTGTGGGTGCCAGCCATGCACCTCTCTCCTCAGGTGACCTCCATCTTCCTCCCTGACAGCAAATCTATTTAGCATGAATGAGACATCCCTGTTTTAAAACACCGGAGACCACCTG